GTGATGCAGTTGGGTGAGCTCAGGGCCCAAGGGCACGCCGCGGCTGAGTACGGCGAGGAGGCTCCGATTGTGCAGGATCGTGTGCCACCCCCCGTGCTCCGATCTGCGCCACAGCTCGGCGGAGAGCTGCGGGCTGATAGGAGCGCGGACAACGCCCCCCCAGCCGAGAGACGCGTCCGTACCGAACACCTCGGGGCAAGGCTGCGCCCGAAGGTCGGTTATAGCCGTAAAGGCTAAAAAGGTGCAGGCCAGAAGCTCGTCGCGAACATAAGGAGGCAGGTCGTATTCAATGCCCTCCTCGGTCGCCAGGCGCGACAGGAAGTTGTAGACGTGCGTGAAGATGGCGAGCACCGGACGGCGATAGAGGAAGACCTGGACCCAGCAGCCCACAAGAGAGGCTAACAGGGAGCGTGTGGCGATGCCGAGGTAGATTTGGATCAGGGTCAGCCTGCACAAGGCCACCGTCCGCACTAAGGGAGCGCAGACGATGCCTATGCGCCCTTCCACCTCGGCGCCCACCACCACCTTGTGCGTTTCGCCGCGCGCGCGCTTGCCTGGATGCTGAATCAGGCCCACGCGCGGGTAGCCTGCATCGCAGGCGGCGAAGACCTCACGATCACGACGACAGGGGTCGTCGGGGCGAGGAGCGGAGCCATGCCACGAGAGCTTCTGAAAACCTGTATGGTCATCAATATTCAGCATCTCGACAAACGGTCCCCGCGGGAAGGGCGAGCGGTGGACAACCTGCTCGTGAGGCCGCAAGGCCCCGAAGCTGTGCAAGACGCCTTCATGCGCAGAGTTGGCAATCTCCACAGCCATGTTGTCGCCCATCGCGAGAGCATTGAGGCAGGGCGCGACATCCACACCTTCGAGCTCGGGGCGCCAGGCTCGAAAGGCCTTGAAGCGGGATGATGGCAGACGAACGCGCAGGGCGTTACGCCTGGCGCGCGCGGGAGGAACGCGGAAAGTGTAGTAAAACTCCCGTAGGTCGTCGCAAGAAACTGCCAGCCATTCCCCAGGCGCCAGCCCCAAACGGCACAGCAGGAAACCCTGGCCAAGGCGCTGGGTGCTGGACGAGATTGAAGCACAGCGGCTGTTCACGACCGTTGGGTTCAGAATCAACCTGTCGAAGTCGCTGTCTTTCGGTACCCTGAAAGCTCCGCAGGCTTCATCCCAGGCGAGGTCCGAAGCAGGAGTCAGGTACAGGGCGCCGCAGGCATCCCACTTCTGGAGTAGGGCCCACAGCTCGGCGCGGTCCATATGGACGCGCGCCCCCTTTTGGCCAGCAGGCCACTCTGACGCCGGGAGCCGCATCACCTCAGGATCGATGAACGCTTCGCGGACTCGAGCGTCAGAGAGGAATGGAACGGGATCAAACTCTGGCGAATAATCCCACTTGATGCGAGACGCCCTGACTTTCAAATCGAAGGGCTCGACCTGGGTGGAGTCCCAAGCCGCCGCAGACGCCAGCGAACCAGGCACGGAAGGAGCGCTGGTCGGGCAGTGCCGCATGGGGGCGGGCACGGAAGAAGAGGAGGTGAAGGAGGCCTCCAAAGCTGCAACATGGGTGGCCAGGCCATGGAGCGAGACCTCAGTAGAGTCGAACTTGGCGAAGGCTCGACCTAAGTCGCTCTTGCCGCCACGGGCAAGGCGAACTGCGATCCGACACAACCGTTCGATACGGGTGCGGACGCCCTCCTGGCAGGGCGAGACCGTGGCGCGGACACGAGCCTCGGCGGGAGCGAGGCTAGGGTGACCCAAAGTGAGCCAGTTCAACGCAATAACAGAATACTGCGCGAGCGTCCGCGCCGCGCGCCGCAATCTCCAGCGCCCCCTGCGCCTCGCCGACAAGCCGTCAGGCGGGGGACCAAGAGGTGGAGCAGGCGGGCACGGCCAAGGATCGCGGGGAGGCGGCCCCAAAAGGCACGGGTCGTCCCTGTCCATTGCACGCATTGATGAGCGGGAGAAAGATCCAAGAGAACATCGAGCACCCATCCCAACCTGGGACAGCGCTGCCGCCCAGTGGGTGATATCAATGTTCGCGCCTGGAAACAGGCGCAGCAAGGCAGACAAGTCAGCGACGAATGGCGCGACTTTGGCAAGAGCAGCAGGGGTGCTTGAAGGAGAACAAGCACCAGCAAGAACACCAACCTCAGGGGCTGCAGGCCCCCTGGAGGGCGCGCTCGACTGAGGCAGGCGACGGCCAAAATGGCCGAAGGGATCCGAGGAGCGGTTCGGAGCAGAGCGAAGGGCGCGGTGGCGGAACGCACTCCTCCCTGCGGGGCCGCAACAGCATCGCTGGAGGAGCGCATTCCTACCCTCACGCCCTCGCTGCGCCCAAACACGCCTAGCAGCCGTAGCAGCGTCGGTGCAAACTGTTTGCGGCGGCGTACCCCGGCCACGCGAAGGCCCCCCCTTCCAGGAGGCGGGCGCCAAGGGCATCTTCAGTCCTTCTTGGGCACCGCCTTCGGGGCCTTGGAAGCACCCTGAGACTTGAAGGGGGGCTTTGAAACCTTGGGCTGCTTGGGCTGATGAGGTGGATGCTTGGGAAGCGCGACGGCGCGCTCGGCGTCGAGACGCGCCCGAAATGCTTGCAGCTCCTTCATGTATTCGCCCTGCGCCGACAGCCAGCGAGGATCCACCAGGGGTGAGAACGGGGTCTGGGCCTCGCGCTCCGTGTGACGACTGGTCACGCGACACGGGGGAGGCTCCAGCCCCGTGAGGAACCAGGCGGCCTCGAGATAGCCGCGGTCCCCCGCCAACTGGTCGATGAACATGCACTGGCAAGTCAGCAAGGTCTGGACCCTCTCGGGGTTGCCCTCTCGCAGGCCCGCCACAGCTCGGCGCTGAGGAAGGCAAAATGCGTCAACAACTCGTGCGTCGACGGCTGAGCCCCGAGGGGGCTGTGCTCGCGAAAGTACTGATGCATGGCCATGGGGGTCACGGCGCTGACTTCCACGCCCAGGACGCGGGCCAAATTCTCCTTCATCAGTCCTCGCACGTCGGGGCCGTGCTGCATCAGCACTTGCTGCCACTCGCGCCTCCGAGCAATTCCCCCCATCTGAGCTGATGCGTGCGCGTGGTCGCCCGAGCTCGTGGGCGGAGATTGAGCTTGGTCGCTCAGGGTCCCCAGAAGCGGATGGACGGCTGGGCGATGGCTCCGCCCCTGCTGCAATAAAAGGGACTGGTGCAGGCACTGAAGCATGAGGCTGAAGTCCGTCGGATTGGCCGCATGGGGCGGCTCTGACCCGTCGGCGCCGCCCGCCTCGGCAAAGCCGTCGACCGCAGCGGGATGGGCTAGCCCAGGCGGCGGCGGGGGACCCATCGGACCGAAAGCGGACGAAGGGGCCTGAGCGACAGCAAGAGAGCGCGCCTTTTCCCACGCCGAGACCAGCGCGGAGGTCGGACCCTTGGGACGCGCGGAGACCCGCTGTGGGGCCACGGGCGCGTGGGACAGGACGGCCTCGATCCCCGCAGGATCCAGCCCGAGGCGCGCCGCCTCGTCGCTGAAAAGCTGAGGCACCTCGGGCCGAACACTCCGGGCAGCCGGGGCGGGGCCCAGCGGCTCGGGTCCGCCGACCATCGTGGAGGCCGCGTGGGCTGCAAGCAAGGCGCGCATTTCGGCAGCTACCTCGGCGCGGGTCATGGGAGCCCCGTCGTCCAGAGACGCCGCAGGAGCACCAGGAGCAATCGGAGCAGGACCCGCGACCCGTGGCGGCGCGGCGGCGCCAGCGCGCTTGGCGGGCGGGCCGCGCGGCGCTCCAGCGACCGCGGGGGCTCGCGCACTTGGGGCCGTGCGGTCGGCTTCCCCGTCGGCCGCGAACCCCTCGGGCTCCTCCATCTCGTCGGCAGAGTGATAGGGGGTAGCCCGATCGGCCCCTGGGAGAGGCTCTTCCCCTGCGGTAGGCGGGGCGCCGTGCAAGCGAGCGTAGCCCTCGCGAAGCACCCGAACCCCCGAAGGATGCGGCCAATAGACGCGGCTGCGCACCTCGGCGAAGGGAACGATGCCTGCGTCGTCGCCGACCTCTAGAGGGTACAGCGACTCGAGCTCGAGCTCGGCAACCTCGATATCTATAACGAGGACGGATGCGGTAGTGGCGAGCGGCCGTGAAGCGGCCCCCTGGAGCTGGACGTCCACTAGCTGGAAGGGGCCTATCATCCCAGCAAATCCATCCGCCTCGGCAGCCTCGAGCTCCGCCGTAGAGCGAAAGGCACCAGGCAGGGCCAGAAGGATGCCCCCTTCTCGAGAGGCGAGGGGGATAGCCGCCCAGCTGGTGTCGCCGTCGTCTAGGCGCCATCGTGCGTAGTCGCGCGCCGTGGGAGCAGCGAATGGGTAGAGCTCGGGCCAAAGGGGCCCTCCGCCAACTGGTGGCAGCTCCGCCATCAATGGGCGCCGCCGTGGAAGCCGCCGCCCGAATGCTGGGCGTCTGCCCGCTCGAGCGCTCGAGGTCGAGGCGGAATCCCGTAGGCCAGCGCTCGCGCCGCACGGCGGTCCTGCTCAGGGGAAGCAGGAACCGCGCCGCGCGGCCAGGCGGAGGCCCAGAGCCTCCGCCACACGTACGGGCCCAGCAGCCCGAGGCAGCAGCCCGCGCAGGCGCTGCAGGCGGCCGTCACCCAGAGGAGGGCGACGACCGTGCTGAGCAGCCAGGGAGAGACCCCGCCGCTCAGATCCACCGCCAGCCCGAGGCAGACGGTGGGGCAGGCGGAACCCGCCGAAGGGAGGGGGCAGTAGGCCCCCTCACCCTCGGACGAGTCCGCCTGCGGGATGGACCAGGCAGGCGCAGGAGGCCCCTGGTCCTGAAGCACAGAGAGGGGGGCAGCCACGAGCCGCTCGTAGAGCGCGGCCCGCAGCCCCCTGAAGAAGATCTCCCCAGCGCCCTCGAGAGCCGCTTGTGCGACCGCCTGCATAAGGCGCCCGCACGCGCGGCAGACGGGGGGGCACTTGGGCAGAGAAGCTGCGGAGACAGCAGGAGCTTGCTCACAGAGAATAGAAGAGGCAGAAGGAAGAGGAGGAGGGGGATAGAGGGGAGAGCGAGACGGCGAGAGAGTGAGGTGGCTTCCAGCTCACCTCCACGAGGGGAGGCCAATCACCAGGCCCCTGCAGGGGCTGGCAGCATGCTACGGGGGCCCGCCTTCGAGGCTGCACCGCCGCGCTCCTTGCGAGGACGACGACAAGGCAACAGGAAGAGGGAAGGGAGGCAAAGAGGCAGCAGCTACAGTCTGCGCAAAAGGGTCTGGATGAGCATGCACGTTCGCTTGCAGGGCATCCTACTGCAGCGTTACGAAGCGATGAATAGAGAAGCCGATCTGCAAGTTGCAGAGGCAGCCACGGGAGAAAACCAAAAGTCGTATCGACGAGACGGGACGTCGTCCAGGGAGAGATCCTGGGATTCGGGGGGGCGGGGGAGTTCCCCGCCCTGCGCCTTGGGCGCGGCGCGGGAAGCTTGCACCCAGGCCGTGAGATGCCTCTGGCCTATCGTCGCGGGCGGAAAACATATCCGTACCACCCTCAGGTCGGGCATGCCCTCCTACAGGCGAATTTTGGTCGGAAAAAATCAAACAACAGTTGTTCACAGTGAATGCTTTATTTTTCTAGATCGATTTTTAATATATATATATATATATATATATATCAAAGATCCTATCTCATATACATAAATCATATGTTCAACCAAAAATGTTTTACTATGTTTGAATATTCCTCCTGTAGAGGGGCGGGCCCGACTTACGCCTCTCGTCGCGGGCGGAAAACATCTCCACACCCGCGGCCCCGTGGACCGCGACCCCCCGCGGCTACGCGTGCGCTTCGTCGCGGATGCCCCACAAGTGACGTACTCCAGAATTCGTAATAAAAGGGAGGGGGTCTGGACCCTCCAAGACAAGCCATGTCAGACCCCCCCCCTGAGAGAACCCTCCAAAACATCGTCCCCAGACCCCCCCAGGCCTTCCAAGATAGCCTGGAAGAGACCCCCCCCCGAAATGAGACCCCCTCCCTTTTATTACGAAATCTGGAGTATCCATGCGACCGCGTATCCTTACAAAGCCCAGGGTTCGCTAGGGACTGGTTTCCCCCCAAAACGGCGAAAACCCTTCCAAAACCCTGCCGAAGCCCTCCGAGAAGCCTCCAGGAACCCTTCCAGGAGGGTTTGGGAGGGTTTCAGGAGGGTTTCAGGAGGGTTTCAGGAGGGTTTCGGCCGTTTTGGAAGGAAACCAGTCCCTAACGAACCCTGGATTTTCTAAGCGTATCCGTGGGAACGCGCCAAGAATCCAGACCGCGAAGGCGCGGGATGTGGACATGTTCGCCGCTGGTGACGTCGTGCGCCTCCCGATGTCACTGGTCCTCCGCGGCAGCGGGCGCACACAGCGAGGGGCTGAGCGCTGCCCCTCATCACTGGCGCACCGCTGTAGGTGCCGCCGAAGCGACTAGTGCGTCCGGGCCCTCGGCGGAGCGGACGAGCAGCGGCGGAAGTCGTCGAAGGTATCGTCCTAGAGGCCGCCCAGATGGGGTAGGACCAGATGGGGTCGGGGGATCGCGCCGCACTGCAGATGCACCGGCGACGTCGCCGATGCAGCGGCGGCGTCGGCGTGAAGGAAATCGAGCTCCAGATCGAGCTGCATCGCCGAGGCATCGGCGATGCGGCGCGCCTCTCCAACCCCATCTGCTCGGACCTCATCTGGGAGGCCTAGACTTCCTCGTCCACAGCGAAGACGTGGAGGAACGTGCGCTTGACTGTGGCCGTCAGTGGCGGCGACGAGTCCTGCCCAGGGTGCGCGGAGGAGGCGCCCCGCGGCAGCGGGGCGGCGAGGGCGGCCGCCGAACGGTCGTCCTGGGCCCAGGGGGTCTGGCACTGCGGCTGCGGCAGCTCGTACGGGGCCGCCCGGTGTGCTGTGTCGTACTCCTACCCACCACGGGCGCCAAGAATATACCCAGACACGATCGCGTCTTGAAAAAATCAGGATGGAAATTGTTTCGTTGGTTTCGACCCCGGGGGGCCCTCGCCGGACCCCAGGAGCGTCAAAAAACGACTCGGGATGAAAAACCGGAAGGGCCGGGCCTTCTGGGGACGCCGCCCTGAGAAAATCAGGACGTCGCATGTCTGGGTGCGCTTCCGCCACCACCTGCATCCCCTGTCCCTCCTCCCGCCTCTTCTTCCCTCCCTGTTTCCCAGCAGAGGGGAGGGGGCGAGGGAGGCGGTGGTGTGTGAATGTTTGGGCCCCGTACTCCGTCCTGCGAGCCGCACTGGGAGCCGTACTGGGAGCCCGACTCGTTGTACTCCTCCCCCTCCTCGCTGCCCTCCCACGGCCTGAGCTGCCCCGCCGCGTGGGCGAACTTGCACGCGTCGCCCTGCCTGCACCGCCCGGTCTTCACGAAGCTCCTTCGGTGGCATCTTGCTCGGGACGCACGAGGACATACCAGTGGTGCGTGGGCGATTTCGGAAACCCTGAACCCAACAACGTTGTCATCTCTTGGGGGCGCATGTTCGACTTCCGCCATCTGCCGCCGCCCTGCCGCCCCCTCGGAGGCGCGCGTCCGAACCGAACTTTTTGTTCGTCGGCGGCGAGGCGGAGGCGATCCAGCGTCGGGTTCATCGGGGGCACCGATCGGCAACGAATTGTCCGGCGCGCAAGACAACGACGAGGGAGGAGAGCACGGGCGTCCGACCCGAACAACTGTAGCGCAGCATATAGTGCGACCCACCTGGTAGTACACACCGTTTCCCCAGTGGTGAGGGCAAGAAGCTGCCCGACACGGCGCAGATGCTATACGATTTCTCGGCGCGCATCAGCATGCCCGGGTGGCGCCGATCACGGGCTCGACGCGAATCGACGCTAACCGACGCTGATCGAGGCTCGTCGACGCGACTCGATGCCGAGTCGACACTCACCGACGCTCAATCCGCGCTCCCCCACCGACTACCAAACGCTGGCGCACGCGAGTGCGCTCCAGCGAAGGAGTTACGAGGACACACAAAGCTCCCATGACTTGCGACCGAAAGCTCCTGCACTGCTGCGTGTACGAGAAGTCCGGAGCTGTTCTCACGTCCCCACTTCCGTGCGCAAAGTTGCAGTCTTCTCCGCGGGCGCAATACCCCTTCGAGTAGTAGATGCACAGCCGAGTTTTGTGCAAGAAGCGGGCCGTCATCTCGGCATTACCTCTGCTGGAGACCCTCGCGGCACGCGTCATGCTGAGCGTCGGCGGCTTGTCCGAATGCCACTGAAGCAACCCCTGCTGGGAACCAATCAGTTTGGCAACGCGCTCGAGTCAAAATGGCTACGGATCAGGATGGTTTCTTATCTCGGCGGCGCGCCCGGGGGGGCAGCGGGAAGGGGCGGCCTCCTCCTTCGGCTCCGCCGCCTCCCGCCGCATCCCTATTCCTTATGAACAAGTCCTCCTCGTCGCACTGCCAAGCGCGTTGGTAGGGCGAACCACGCGTTTCGCTTGAGGCACCCTCACAGCTTATGACCATGATGTCTCGAGTCTTCGAAGCAGAGATGCGGATGAAGAGCGGGTGGTTGTCGAAACGTGGGTATCACCTGAACGTCGTCTACATTCGGCTGTGTTGTCAAAGCTTCCACAGTCACACGGATGATGAAAGACAAACTCCTCGGATTCTAAGTGCATGCCCGCAGCCTCTAAAGAGCCTGCCCACAGCGAAGCCAGCGGAGGAAGGCCGAGAGGCTAAGGTTGGCAACACAATCACATGTTCACGATGACCAGACTGTCCAGCCAATATCACTCGTCCGAAGAATCAGTGCCACACAAGACTTCGTCCTGAAAAAAACACTCTCACCTAGCTCGGTCTCTGCCCGTACGGATTCCCATATGGGTACTCTTAAACGACGTCACGAAAGAAATGGAGCTCAGATCGACCATGTTTTGGGTGATCCGAGGGCGGGCGAAACCAACCAACGTCCACGAATGTACTTCAACAAATCAACTGGAAAACTACGGACCGAGGTAATCATCCTTCCGATCTGGCCTGGCTCCAACCGATAAGTTGCGGTGTCCATGGTGGATGTCGCGAGAAGGGACCGCGTGCCGCACCGCGCACGGTGTGATGTTGAGCTCGTCATAGCCCAAGGCCCTGTAGGCTGCCTTCAAGTCGCGCTCGCACTGAACCAGGGTCAGCGAGTCGAAGGGCCGCGCGGCGGGGTCGGCGGCCTGAGCTCGTCTGCTTCCTGGCCCGCCTTCGGAGGCTCGCCTGACGAGCGCCTCCGCCACCTCTGGAGCCAATGTCCCGGAAGGGCTTCCCAGCGCCACGGAGTCGTCGACATGGCCGGTCTCGGCAACGAAACCCATCTCCGCAGCGGCGAAGACGACGCCCCAATCGCGCATGGCCGCGCCACGCACGCCTGCCACCTGCGCGAGCATGTTGCCCAACGCGAAGTCGAAGCTCTCCGAAGGCCTCTCGTCATCGCCCATCTGCAACGCGAAGCAGGCGGCGCTTGCGGCCATGGCCCAGCATCCAGACGCCCATGTCGAGGAGCACCTCCCGCGGCGGCGGGCCCTCCACGACCTCGTGGGCCCTCTTGGCCCCACGGGCCAGCGCCCGCTCGACGTCGCCGAAGCGGTCTCTCTCAAGCTTGCATTTCGAGGAGTGGAGCAGGAGGTAGCCGAAGAAAACAGCGCGGCCCACACTGGGCCCGCACCCCTGCTGGCATTTGGCGAAGAAGTGCTGCTTGATGGCGGTGGCGAGGCTGCCGCGCTTGACCGAATGGCCGCGCTGGCCTGCCCGGTCAAAGATGTGTCGCAGATCGCGCCCATGTCCCGGGACTTCTAGTCCGCGGCGCTGTCCTGCAGAAATCGATCAGGGGCCGTCGCAGACCCTGCCGCGGCCCGCTGCCTCCCCCGAGCCTCCTTCCGCCTCTGGGGCGCAGGCCGGAGGACGCCGCCCGAAACGGAGCCCCTTCTCGACGATGCACTTCCGAGCACGGTCAAGGTTCTCAGCATCGACGCAGTCATGTCCTTCACCCGCTTGGTGGTGGCCCACAGAACTCGCTGTCCGACGACCGCCGCAAGAGCTCCATCCCCCTGATCGACGCAAGAAGGCCGAGGGCCACGCGCTGAAAACGCAGAAAATGCGATAAACAAGCGAAGCTCACTTTGAGCACAAAGAGGACGGATACGCACCTAATGCCCCAGTCTCACACTGCGTGCGCCAGACGCTATCAGCCCCAAAAACTCGCTCTTACCCCTCGAGAGCACGACGCGCACGGCCCCCAGAACACCTTGCCTTCAGCCCACGCAGTGCCGCAGCAATAGCAAGGGCGGCGGTGGGCTTCTCGCGTGAAACCTCAAACCCGCACGAGCACACGGTGACCTTGAAGACCTCGGGGAGCCCCGTGAGCTTCACGATGGGTCGGAATCCCCGAAGTCAAAAGCTGGGGGGGGGGCCCGCGCCCGAGGGCCCCGCACCTGGGCGTCAACGAGCAAACCTCAATACTGAGAAAACAACTCCACTGCGACCGCCTCCCCGGAATGAGCCTTCGCCAGATCGACCGCGCCTCTTCGCGCCGCAGGCCAGGCCGCAGACGGGGCACCCAGGTGGATTTATTGGACGAGGCCCGACACGATCCACGACTTGACGACGCGCTGCGCGCCTTTCCTGGCGAGGTCGCACCTCGCCCCGCGCCGAAGTTCAAACGGCGGCCCGACCCGCAAGCCGCGGGAACGGCGAGCCCAATCGAGGCACGAATCGCCAGCAAAGAGCTCGAGCTCCACGGCCTCTCCCGCTGGAAGAGACGCCCGGAGAGCCCTTCGCTTCCCGGGCGTCGGCGCGGGAACTCCGCTGGGAAGGTCGGCCGAGCCACAGGAGAGGCGCCGCTGCTCCGACGCGTTCTTGGCCCCGACCTGGTCCGGAAGCTTCTCGGCCGACCCCCCAGTCCGACGCGGGCGCGATCCGGCGCCCGCGGCATTCCGCTTGCTCTCGACGCGCCGCGAGCGCCAGCCAATGCAACCAGCGATCCGGCAGCTAGCCGCCCGCCTCGCCGGCGAATTGAAGTCTCACGACTTCGCGCAGCCCTTCTCGAAAGCACCGATGGACACGGGGGCGCCGCCGATGGAGACCTCTCGAGCGCCGCGGTCGAAGCGGGCCCGGGATGCCCGACGGAGGCCGAACAGCGAAGCCCGGCCCTCATTGGCGTGGATGTGCTCCCCAGACCACTTCCAGGGCCCAACCCGCGGGTGCTTCCATCTCTTCGGCGAACCCAGCACCGATCTATCGGTGGGATGGCGCCGGGCACCTCGACCTCCTCATGCTGAGGCCTGGGCCGCTGGGGCCTAGACTGGCGCCCGACACAATGGGCGCCATCTGCCGGGCGGCGCTCGCACTCCCCCCCCTTCAGGAAGCGCCCGCGCTGCGTCTGCGGGCCACCGGCGACCCCCCTCAGCAACGTCAGCATGAGCGCATTCTGGAAGATAGGCCCCACCTCCAGGCTGCAGGCGACCACTCGCATAATTGGCCCACTCGGGCCATACCATCGCGACCTCCCCCAGAGTCTCGACCAACTTGAACCTCCATCGCGCACGGGGCCGGGAAAGCTCCCGCAGCTCCGCCTCGTTCGTCGACATGGGCACTGGGGCGAAGCCGACGCCCGACGAGTCCGAGCCGTCGGCCTCCGGGCTGAAGCCCGCGCCCACACTGCGCTCGCAGAGGAAGAGCAGCCCTTGGACCAGGCGCATCTCGTTCTTGACGGCGTCAGCGAGCACGCGACGCCCCCGAGCGGCGGCCATGAAAAGGCACATCTGCTGGAGGCAGGACAGCCCTGGCCGAAGCAAGCTGAGCGAGTTGACAACGTGGCCCATCCAAATCTTGAGGACGTCGCCGATCATCCAGCGCCGGCGCCGCAGGGCCTGGGCGGCCAACTACATGCGCCAGACTCGACGAGGCACATGGCAAAGACAGCGCTGCTTGCCGCCGAAGACGACGTCGACGCCGTCGAAGACCACCCCAGCCTCGCCGTCCAAATGAGCGCCGATGCCCTTCGCAGTGGCCGCCTCCCTGAACCGCCAGATCGAATCCTCAGCGCCTCTCTGGTCGCCCGCAAGGGTGTGAAGTTGTCCGCGTAGACCCCTGAGACCGCATGGCCCGCGCGAAGAACAGGGGCTGGGGAGCGCCCCCACACCGGGGATCTCGGGGGCACCGCGCTCTGGTTGGCCAGGAAGGACGTTGCCTCGTTCGCCGAATGGAGCGCCCAGGACCACACCATGGCCGTGCCATGAAAAAACGGGGTGAACCACGACGGAAGGCTCGATCGGCACACTCCGGCCGAGGTCACCATCGCAGACGGACGCCCCCACTCGCCGGCAGGGAGAAGCATACCACTACCAAGCCAACGGCCGAGCTCCTCCACCAGCATCTGGTAGAAACAATCGTGGACGTCGCTGGTGCCGCCCCAGATCTCCGCCACGGGTCCGAAGCCGCCCATGCCGTGAAGTGCTGAATCGGACATGTCGAGCTCGCAGAAACCGCCAACAGAACCGAATCGGATCTTGGGCGGGGATTGCCGACGTCGTTTCGCCTGCCTTGCGTCAACGATGAGTCCGATCCAAGCAGGGCTCTTTTTTGACAAGAAATATCCCGATCTTGGCCTTGAGCTGTTTCCTGACAATGATGAGACCCGGCTGCCGAAGCCGATCGATGCGCTGAAGTAGACCATCACGGTCACGAGCAAGCGCAAGCTCCCAGTACGGCCGCGGGAAATCACGAGCGGCCAGCAACTCCAAAATCTGCTCCGAATCGCGCTCGATGCAGCACGCGTAATGCCTGATGGGGCCAGCCGCGTCCGGAGGCAAGAACGCCTTTGCGTCCTTCGCCACCGTCCCCGACCAGCAGATCTTGAGCTTACTGGTGTCGTACTCGGCCAGATTCTTCAGCTCCTGCGCATAAGGGGCCCCTGGACGCCACGAGCTCCGCGAGGGCTCCACTCTCATCCAGGTCTCGAGGCGGCGGGAATAACCCGCGACGCGCCGAGCGACGTGCCGCAAGACGTCGCACTGCAAGGGCGTGGCCCACTCGCCTCCGTATCTCCCTGACCTTGAGACGCTCGAGGACGACGCTGCAGCGGCGGCGGGCCGGTTCAGAGACCTCACCGCTTCACACCCCCGTCGCTTCCCATGGTGCCGCTCAAGCCGCCGCTGCCGCACGCGCCGATGGGGCGTCGGGAGAGGGCAAACTTGTAGAGGTAGGTGCGTGCAGAGCAATAGGGGAACCAAGAATGACATGAACATAAGAGCTCGGCGCGCCGCCAAGGGGGTCCAGCGCGGATCCGAAAAATCCGCGCGGACCTCGGCGTTGTTATGTTTATGTCATTCTTCGTTCCCATGAGGAAGGATCTCCCCATGCCGTCGTTGGGAGCGGAGTCTCCGCCAAACTCTGTTTTTTTGGTCGGCGGGGCGAGAGCGAACCTCTTCCGCTAAAAGCTAGGCGGGCTACGCGCAGCTTTAATTAGGGAGACAGGGCGCAGGAAGGCGGGGCCTCACAAACTCCGCCGAACACTGGCGCCCCCACGGTCAAACTTGGCGGCTGGGTCGGCCCTGCTGCACAGCCGACCTGGCCAGGAGGGGGCCGCACTGGGGAGTCAGCCCCCAGCGCTCTCCGTCTTGTCGCCCTCGCCGGCCCCCCGGCATGGGGCCCTTCGGCTTGCTGGGCGGTCGGTCGTCGTCACGTCTTCCACCTCGTGATCGCTGCTACTCCTGAGTGCTCTCCTCTCGAAGAGGCCGGGCCTGCTTGAGCGTCTGCGCCCTCTCGCCCTGCTTCCTGCGGGCCCACTCGCGGAGGGTCTTGCTGGAGGCAGCTCCACTCTCCGTCGTCGGACCGCCGAGCACCAACTCCAGGCCCCCGCAGTCTGGATGCGCGGCGTTCCTCTCGACGGCCATCTGGGTTTGCACCTGCCGCGCTGCTCGAAGCACGCCAAGTTGGGGATGTTGAGCTGGTCCACCTGGTGGGCCAGCCTGAGCACCTCCGCGTTGTTCCTTGTGCTCGTGGAGGGCCGCACTGCCTTCCCCGTTCTCCCGCTATTCGCTCTCGTAGACCATCATGGAGCCAGGCCCGCCACGCACCGACTCCAGGTACTCCAGAGAGGCCCGAGGGGGAGGGAACGGCCAGTCGTCGAAATTATCCTCGGTGAAGAGCTGCGGCGCGTCGCGGGAGACCAGGTTTCACTTCCAGTTCTTCCTGTGGATCCCCAGGATCCTGGAGGGCCCCCAAAGGCAAAATTCGCCCCCTGAAGGAAAACCTACATGTCTAACAGATTCGCACCTTGGGCTGTCACAGCGTCCCAAGACGGCCCAGGAGGCCCAGGATGCAGCCCAGACGGCCCAGGAGGCCTCCAAGACCGCCCAAAAACATCCCAAGATGCCCCCAAGAGGGCCCCAAGGCGGCTCAAGAGGGCCCCAGGACGGCCCAAGAGGGCGCCCAAAATGGCCCAAAAGGGCCCGAAGATAGGCACGCGATGAGGAGCTCAAATGGGAATTTCGAGCCCTCCGCCCCAAGGGGGCACCCGAGATCGCCAGCAGGCCCCCAACATGCCCCAAAAGGCCCAGAAGAAGCCCCAAGAGGCCCCCAAACGGCCCTGATCAGGCCCCAAGAGGCTTCAAGCTGCCTCGAAGAGGCTCCCCAAGAGGCTCCCCAAGAGACCCCGACAAGCATCCAAGAAGCCTCTGACCCACAACCGAGGCACGGCGGCGGGATAGGCCGAAGGCCACTAGCCGCCGCCCCCTGGGCTTGTCACAAGGGTAGCCGGCCCCTGGACGACGAGAGGGGCGACAGGCTGGCCCTCGCCCAACGTGTGCTTGTGGAGGCGCCCGACTCTCTCTGTGGAGGCGGGCTCGTTTCGTCTTCGTGGGGCTGCCGCCGAGGAGGTCGGGGGGGGAAGGGAGAAGGGGGGGAGAAGGGGGAGGGAAGGGGGAGGGAGAGGGGGAGGAGGAGGGGGAGGAGGAGCAGATGGGGGAGGAGGAGGAGGAGGAGGAGGAGGAGGAGGAGGAGGAGGAGGAGCAGTTGGGGGAGGGGGAGGAGGAGGAGGAGGAGGAGGAGGAGGAGGAGGAGGCACAGCGTGCGGGAAAGTCCACGTCAGACCAATGGCAACTACCGATGCCGCTGCCTCCTCGGGATCCGCATGGCCAGAGCTATCGCCTGTACCTGTCCACGGGCTTCCCTGGGCGTGAGGGCGCGGGACGCAGAGCGGGCAAGGGGCGCAAGCAGGCGATACCCATGGAAGAAACCGACGCAACACCGGAGATCCTCCCCCACAAGGCCGAGACGACGCAGCCGATCCGCTGGCGGGGTCTGGCGGGTGGCAAGGGCGACCAATTCAGACAGCGGCTGGCATGAGAGCAGATAGTGGCGCAGAGTATCTGGACAATCGCATCCTAGGAGGCACCGCGCATGTCGTTGCATACGAGCGTTTGTCGTCCATCCCCCAAGCCATGTCTTCAAGGAGGAGGAGGAGGAGGAGGAGGAGGAGGAGGAGGAGGAGGACCAGTGTAAACCCAAGACGCATCAACGATGTTGCAATATAAACCCTCCCTCCAAATTCCCTCGCCAAAGGTCCCTAAACAGATTCACGTACAGTGCAGGAGGTGACCCATTCAAGGGCAACCGTCCGAGAGTCCTCGATCGTGCCAAAAACACCGCTCCCGGGACTTCTACGCCGCGGATAAGCGTGACTGCTGCACCCTGACAGTCCGGACACACGGGCCAAAGCACCATCCCTGGGACTCCAACAGCGCGAATCAACGCTGTTGCCCAAAACCGTGCCAGAACACGATTCCTGGGACTTCGACCATACGAATGCTTGAAACTGCTGCAAACTTCCGACATGAATGCCCGCGTCGCTAAGGCGAGAGCCACATAACCTGCCCCCCATCCGCGAAACTGCTGCGATATTCAAGCTTCAGGATCATAAGCGGCGAGGAAGTCTCAGCCGAAACGCCCGGCCCGCCCTACCCACACGTCGGAGAGTGCAGCGGAGAGGAGCTGTTCGGAAGAAAACAACTGGAGGAGGAGGAGGAGGAGGAGGAGGAGGAGGAGCAGGAGGAGGAAAAGTGCAAACCCAAGACGCACCAACGATGCTATCAAAACCTTCCCTCCACATTCCCTCTTCAGAAGTACCTACAAGAATTCATTACCATTGCCGGAAGCGCCCCATTCGAAGCCAAGTGTCGGAGTATCCCCAACCGCGCCAGAACACCGTTCCTGGGACCTCAACGCCGCGAACCAACGTGACAGTTGCGTCCTTCAAATATTAACGTTAAATTGTACCAGAACGCTATTCCTAGGACGTCAGCACCTCGAAACAACGTGACTGTTGCGTCCTGACAGTCCTACAGCGTGCCAGAACACCCTTCCTGGGATTTCCACACCGCGAACCGACGTGACTGCTGCGTTCTGACAATCCTAAATCGAACCAGAACGTCATTCCTGGGGCTTCAGCGATACGAACCAGCAAAACTTCTAAAACGCATGTGCGCGGCGACAGGACGAGGACTACATGTTGGAAAGGAACTGCTCTCAATCCCTGAAGCTGTGCAAATTTCCAAGACGAATTTGTGCGGCGCTGAAGCGCGGGACACATGTTGAAAACGACCCGCCCTCCATCCCTGAAGCGGTGAGGTAGTCTCAGTCGAAACGCCTGGCCCGCCCTAGCGACACGTTCGGGGATCCAAGAGGGAGGAGTCATTGACAAGGAAACAGGATGGAAGAGAAGGACGAGGAGGAAGAGGAGGAGGAGGAGGAGGTGAAGGGGGAGGAGGGGGAGGAGGAGGAGAAATGGGGGCAGGAGGAGGATGGGGATGGGGAGGGGGAGAGGGCGGAGGGGAGGCGGAGGACGACGACGACGAGGAGGAGGAGAGGAGGAGGAGGGAACGAGGAGGAGGAGGAGGAGGAGAGGCGGAGGAGGAGGAGGCGGGGGAGGAGGAGGGGAGGAGGACGACGAACGACGAGGAGGAGGCGGAGCAGGAGGCTCTTCTGGTCGCCGCGCGGCGTCCAGCGCCCGGCGCGCGCGCGCGGGGGAGAGCCCCGCCCTGCCAGCGCACGGGGCGGCCCCGCGGGGGGCCGAGGCCCCGCACTACAGCATGTCCTCGCGCCGGCGCGGGGGGGGCGGCGAGGACGGCGCGCCCGGCATGCGCGCGCTGCCCCCTGGCGACGAGGGCTCCTCCTCCTCCTCCTCCTCCTCCTCCTCCTCCTCCTCCTCCTCCTCCTCCTCCTCCTCCTCCTCCTCCTCCTCCTGCTCCTCCTCCTCCTCCTCCTCCTCCTCCTCCTCCCTCCCTCCTCCTCCTCCTCCTCCTCCTCCTCCTCCTCCTCCTCCTCAGTATGTCGTCCTGCCTCCCACGGATGTCGCGGCTAGGGCCACGAGGCCTCCCAGACTTCTCTCAGCGCCGCCCCGCCGTGCGGCAGGACGTGCGTGTCGCGAGCCGCCCGCGCCCGGCGGTATAGTCTTGGCCGGCGGGATCGGGGCGCCCTTGCCTCGCCGCGAAGCCGAGGGGCGCACAGGGCAAGGGCCACCCCCTGGAGTGCGCGAAGCTCGCCCAAACACCTTGACCCTCAAGCCTCGAGCCTCGACCTCAATCCTCGAGCCAAAAGGAACCTGGCCTCTTCGGCTTCTGTAAACGGTTCCCGCGCAGACCCTCCCAGGAGCTGCTTCCCAAGAGCGCACTGTTCGTTGAGCTCAAGCAAATTAGAAATGGGATTTTGATGTTGACATCCCCCCACCCCCCACACCCCCCCACCCCACCCCTTCCCCCTCCGCCGCCTTATGAAATAATGCTAGGCCGAGACTGCGTGCAAGTGAGCTTCGGCTTGCATGAAGCGCCAGGCGCCCCCCTCCCCCTCCAGGCAAGTAAACTTGCCAGGGCCCAGACATAAACTGCCTCTATGGCTTCGGGGTGCGCACAGACAGCCTCCCCAGGTAGTCCTGGCTGGCCTTAGCGAGCCCACCGAGCAGTCCCAGCTGGCCTCGGCAGGCCCACCGAGTAGCCCCAGGCGGTCTCAACACCCTGGCGCGGCCTCTGGCGGTGCCCCTGGGGCGCTCCACGCCC